AAAAAAAAAAAAAAGAAAGAAAATATTTCAAATAGTATATAAAAACAGCACACTGTACTCCATGATAGTATTAATGTACACAGCTATGATTTAATAAAAATAAATAAATAAATTTAGATAGGTGAATTTTTAAACATATAAAATTAAGTTTTATATGTTTTAGGCAGTATTTTGCCTTAAGAGATATTTTTTAAACTTTTAATACTTTACCTCTTTAGATTTTTACAGCTATTTTCTTAAAGGTATATTTTTTCTATGAACATCCTCTGCTGCTACATTAGAAACTTTTATAGAAAAACATTTGCATTGCAGTTGGTGTATTTCATTTTTTGGAGGTTTAATTAAATTAAATAAGATTTTTTTTTTTTTGCAATGAGCTTTACTATACTCCAACAGTATAAATATATTGTGAGTTTTTACTTTAAAAAAATTTCAAATTGTATATAAAAACAGCACACTGTACCCCATGACAGTATTAATGTACATAGCTATGATATAATAAAAAAAAAAAGAAAAGAAAAAAATCCAATTGTGTAATGTGAATCGTTTTCTTAGTTAACTTAAAATAAGAGCTAATAAGAATGGCTACCATTTACTGAGGATGTTGAATGTACCCAGCACTATTTTAAGCACTTTATGTAAATTAATTAATTTTATTCCCACTGCAGTCCTATACAATGCTGTTGTTGTTCTCATTTCATTTATGAGAAAACTGAGGCACAAAGAAAAAGGTTATAAAACTAGTGTCAGAGATGCAGGTGTAGGCAAGTGTGGCGATAAATAATAAAAGATATTCAGGCTGGAGAAGAAGATATAAATTGATCTTTAGTCACAGATGAAATAATTATGTAGAAAAATCCTATGGAATCTACAAAAAGCTATGAGGACTAAAACTGGGTTTAGCAAGGTTACAAGATAGAATATCAACACATAACAGTCAATTGTATTTCTACATATACACAACAAACAGTTGGAAATTAAAATTTAAAAATTAATACCATTTATAATAGCATCAAGAGTATGACATAGGGCTTGGCGCATGTAGCTCAATGGTTAGGGCACTGGCCACATACATGGGGGCTGGAGGGTTTGAACCTAGCTCAGACCTGCTAAACAACAATGACAACTACAAGAAAATAGTAATAACCAGGTGTTGTGGCAGGCGCCTATAGTCTCAGCTACTTGGGAGGCTGAGGCAAGAGAATTGCTTAAGCCCAAGAGTTTGAGGTTGCGCCATGGCACTCTACTGAGGGCAACACAGTGAGACTCTGTCTCTAAAAAGAAAAAAATGAATATGACATACACATAGGGATAAATTTGACAATAAATATATATAAGACTTAGACAAAATATCACTGAGAGAAATTAAAGAAGATCTAAATAAAGACTTAAATGCAACTATGTTCGTGGGTTGGAAGACTCAACACTTTTAAGATGTTATTTTTCCCCCAAATTAATCTATAGATTCAATACAGTCCCAATCAAAATCTCAACTTGTTTTTTGGTAGGAATTGATGGGCCAGTTCTAAAATTAATACAGAAATGCAAAGAAACAATAAAACAGCATTGAAAAAGAAGAACAACTTTGGGACTAATATCTGATTTCTTACTTTAAAGCTACCATCAATAGTACAGGAATTAATTATCAATATAGATAAATAGATCAATGGAACAGATCTAAAGAGTCAGAAATAGAGCCACATGGAAAACTGGTTTTTGACAGAAGTACAAAGATTATTCTTTCAACAGAGAAAGAATAGTCTTTTCAACATGCTAAAACAATCATATAATCACGTGCAAAAAATGAACTTAGGTTCATACCTTGCACCATATGTAAAAGTTAACTCAAAATCAATGGTTGACTTGAATGTATAATCTTTAAGTATAAAGCTTCTAGAAAAAATTTTTTTTTGCGGATTTGGATTACACAAAGCTTTTTAGCTACAATACCAAAAAGAATACAAAAAAGAAAAATTGATGTTTGAATTCATGAAAATTAAAAACTTTTGTGCTTGTAAAGACATTATTAATAGAAAGACAAGCCACAAGCTGTCTTGGAGAAAACATTTGCAAATATTATATCTGATAAAGGATTGACAACCAGAATATATAAATAACTCTCAAAATTCTAAGTGAAAACAACACAATTATAAAGTGGGCAAATAATTTGAATGAACACTTCAAAGAAGCTCTATAAGTGCCAGATTTGCACATCAAAAGATGCTCGGCATCACTAGGCATTAAGGAAATGCAAATTAAAATCGAATAATAATGGTTAAGGTTAAAAAGATTGTTCATACCAAGTGCTGCTTAGCATGTGGAACAACTGGAACTTGGGAAGCACACATTCGAGAAAAGAATCGGTATGAATGTTCATAGCAACTTTGTCTGCGAAGCCCCCAAACGGAAACAATCCAAATGTCTGTCGACAGGTGAATGGTTAAATAAACTGTGGTATATCCACACAGTGGAATTCTATTAGCAATACAAAGAGATGAACTATTGGGAATACATAACAACTTGATTATACTTCAAAATAATTGTGCTGAGTAAAAGAAGCCAAACAAAAAGTAATGCATACTGTATCAATCTGCCTGTACAAAATTCTAGAAAATGCTAACTAATCTATGTTGACAGCAGGTCAGTGTTGCCTCGGCAAAGGAGGAGGCAGCAGGAAGGAGCAGGAGGGAGCAGGGAGGAGGGATCTGAAAGGCATATGAAGGCCAGTACAGTGGCTCAGGCCTGTAATCCTAGCACTCTGGGAGGCCGAGGTGGGTGGATTGCTTGTGCAAGAGCAAGACCCCTTCTCTACTAAAAATACAAAAAATTAGCTGGGCATTGTGATGGGAGCCTGGGGTAGGAGGATCACTTGGGCCCAGGAATTTGAGGTTGCTGTCAGCTGGGCTGATGCCATGGCACTCTAGCCTGGGCAATAGAGTGAGACTCTGTCTCAAAAAAGAAAAAAAAAGGCACATGAAGAAAGCTTTGAGGTGATAGATTTATCATTTTCTTTCAACTATGAGGGTACAAATTTTTAGGTTACATTGTTTTCACTTCTAAGGTAGAGTTGGAGCTGTGCTGAACACCCTCTGCACATTAGGTGAGATCCTGCTGGTCGCCCTCCTCCCCACTCCCCTCTCCCTCATCTCCTTTCCCCCTTGTTAAACTATATTTGTGTTGCATCATTCGTGTGGGCATGTAGTTGTTTA